TGAAAGGATCCTCAATTAGCCGTTCCTATTTATTATGTATCTGCTTGAGAGAGAGTGCATATTTAGGTAGTTGTTTGAACAACATCACTCCCGGAGTATAGGCGAGAGTCATAACCGAGGGTTTAGAGGTTGTATTAGAGATAACGATACCTCGGGTGCGATCTAAGTGAACTGTAATGTGAATCTAGCTAGCGTAGCTTGAGGGTGCGTCTAGTAAATTATCATAATTGCTCGAGAGAGATTTATGATAGCTGGAGAGTTCATGATTGATAGAGGCAACTAAGTCAAAACTATAAGAAACATACAATTAATGAAATCAACAATTGGGGAAATCATAATTCTAGACCTCCTTAATTTAGTCTCCAGACCTTTGTCTCGTTAGTTGTAATTTTACCGTTTTATAGTATTTGTTGGTTAATAAGTTAGATATAAAAATCTTAATATTATAATTTAGAAATTGTTCAAACTTGTCTTCTTTGCGATATTGAAAAATTAAAGCGAAACCTTAGTTCTCTGTGGGATTCGACTCCGGACTTTTAGACCGGATTATATTTGCAGCGACCGCTTGTCCTTTTTAGGACTAGAGTTGGGCGTGATCATATTCGACTGTATTCATGGCGTGAAATATGGGTTTACAGCTGGACAGATTATCGTATTCGACTGTATTCACGGCGTGAAACGGGGGATTACACTATTTTTAAACGGAAAGTGAATCAATTAACATAATCGGCTCCTAATATAACTCAACAAACTCAATTACAACACACAAATTTTGTATTTCCAGTTATTAAAAAGATTCTCAACCGAAAAATACCCCAAAAATATAGCAATCTTCAGAGAAATGATATAATACATCTGATTACATAAATTATTTAAATTAAAAAAATATATGAATACATTCATGGCATATAGCGAGATAGTAAATACAATGAAATACATAGAATATAGCATGATACATTGAAATAGAATAAAAAAAATTACAATAAAATACATGGAGTACAGCGAGGTACATTGAATTACAATAAAAAATAGACAATGAATACAATCAAATACATGAAAAGACTGCGTGATACATCGAAAATACATTGAAATATATTCAACCTATGTGCAATTTGTAGGTTGCGGTGATTTACTCTTGATTTTGCAGAAATCGAACAGTGATGGGGAAGAAGCACCTTTTATAAGGAAAGAGAGTGATTCCGGTCTGCATAATAGTTCATCGGCACCAGATTTCACCAAATCTAGTGAAGAGAGCGAGGAGTTTGTTGTGTGTCATTTGCTATGAAATCTCATGGTGGTAGGTCAATTTATCTTCCTTAATGACTGGGGACGATATAGCCAGCATTCCCCGTAGCGGAACATATTTCTCTCACCTCCTCTTGCAAGAATTCGCCGTTCATTGGCCTTCGAAGATTATTATTGGAGTAGGTTAGAGAGAGACAGGAGAGAGGAGAGAGGAGAGAGGAGAGAGCGTGGGGTTTTTGACTAATGGTAGGTGAGAGGAATTTTGAGAGAATGACATGTATCAAATTAGAAAGAGAAAGAAAATAGTGTAACTGAATAGCGTATTTAGTGGCTTAAGGGTAGGAGATAACCAAAATTAGATATTTTGCTATAAACATTAAAAGGTATTTATAGAATATAATTTTTTTAAATGGTATTTATTTTAAATAAATAAGGTGTTAACCTTTGCTATAGGAAACGAAATGAATAGATGATTAGAAATCATAATTTATGCTCCGGTATGTTCTATCGACATATGATTTTCCTCTCTATTCTCTGCACTACTCATTTATCCCACATCGATATTTAGATAAAAACTGGAGCAACGAGCTATATATAAAAAGGGCCGGAGTACACATTTCAAAGCATACCTTTCTCGGCCTTTTGGCTAAGATCAAGTGTCGTATCTGTTCTTATCAGTTTAATATCTGATATGTGGGCCATCGGCCCACACGATATTAACTTAATTTTTAGGGGTTTTGACATGGTGTGACAACGTACTCACACAATTGGCATAAAATAGTTGTAGTTATAGATATTGGCACAAATAGCCCATAGATGTATATCAGGACAATAATGTGTATATCAAAATGTATATCACAACTTTATTTTTCTTCTTTTTTATATATAAAAAAATATATATTAAAATTTTATTTTCCTTCTTTATTATATAAAATATAAAATGATAAATAAAATTATTTAAAATTTATTTTTATCTGTATATCAATGTATATCATAACGAAAATAACTGTATTATTTATATATCACAGCGTATAACACATCAAATACTGTGCATACCAAATATATAATACAAGTTTATTTTATTCCTCGTGTATATCACAATTTTCTTTTTCTTCTTTTTTATATATAAAAATATATATTAAAATTTTATTTTCCTTCTTTATTATAAAATATAAAATGACAAATAGAATTATTTAAAATTTATTTTTATCTGTATATCAATGTATATCATAACAAAAATAATTGTATTATTTACACATCACAGTGTATAACACATCAAATACTGTGTATACCAAATATATAATACAAGTTTATTTTATTCTTCGTGTATATCAAAATGTATATCAATTTTTTTTTGTATATCAAAATATAAATAAAAGATATTCTTTGTTCTTTGTATATTTCAGTGTATAACATATAGTTTCTTGTGGATATACACAATTTGCTGGAGATATATTGATATACAAAATGAGAATTAGAATTATTTTCTTAATCAAAAGAAAAAGAAGAGGAAAAAAGCATAAAGTTCTGTCCAATGCCAATTTTAGGAATGTATATAATCTTGAAACAAATTTATTCGGAATGATTTCACCCTCTTAAAATTAATGGACAATTTTATTCTGATCTAACATTATATTGCCAAACTTAACAATGTATATCGTGATAGACAATATGGTATACACATGGATATACATGAAGATATACATAGATGTATACCACCTCAAATATATATATATATATATATATATATTTTTAACAATAAAAAAAATAATAGAGGAGAAGAAGAAAATCGAAATCGCCAAACAGACACGAAACAAATCGAACTCTACGATTGCTAATTGTTGTTGCCGTCATTGTCATAGCAATCTGCCAAAGGAAATCGACACCATTGCTAAATGTCGCTGCCATCATCATCATCATCATAGTCACTTTTAGGGCATTCTCTTATTTGTATAGATACGAATATGACGGGGAGAGAGGGAGAATAAATAGAAAAATGTATTCAACCATTACTACTTCCCATATCAAAGAGCACATGCCCTTCCAAATCTGGATTGAAGAGAAAAAATTGCTAGATTGAAGAAGAAAATTGGAGAAGAAATACGGGGAGAGAGAAGAAAAGACACAGGAAAAGAAGAATAAATAAGAAATTAGGATTATTTAGGATTTGGCTATATAATGCCNGACGCTCTTCCGATCTAAGGGGAAGAGGGCATGCTCGGGGAAAATACAGCGAATACAGATCAAATAACGACGAAACTATCTCAATACCATAGCTCATATATAAGTGGTTGGCGCGCCACACGATCCCATTTCTTAATTCATAAGTGGACGGCGTGCCACACGATCCCATTTCATAATATATAAGTGGTCGGCGCGCCACACGATCCCATTTCTTAATTCATAAGTGGACGGCGTGCCACACGATCCCATTTTATAGAATATAAGTGGACGGCGTGCCACACGATCCCATGTCATAGTTCAAAATATCTGGCTTTGTAAATAAGGCCCCATTAGGGGAATTCGACAGCATAACACTTTAACCCGGCAAGAGTACAGCTAACAGCCCAAATATCCCGGCAAGGGAGAGTACATAATAATAGTCTACACGTCCCGGCAAGGGAATAATCACAACACATCCTCTTTTAAATCACTTCTTTCTCAACTATCACATTCTTGTTCGAACCAACGCTCCAAAATATACCAATCACAATTCTTCCTCAACCGTTCACATTATATGAAATTTATCAATTAAACAAGAAAGTTGTGTCACATCATTCGAATTAAAAGCAATTAAGACTCACGGTCATGCTAGACTCCGGTGCATAGACAACCGTCACCATACCTATACACCGTACTCCACATTTAGCAAGTAGCAAATAACATCCTAATCCTATTCCCTCAAGCCAAAGTTAGAACAAACACTTACCTCGGTCCAAGAATAGCAATCAACTCTCTAATACCGCCTTTCCTCTACAATCCAACTCCGAAACAATGATATCTAGGCATAATTAGTTCAATAATATCAATAAGGGCTCAAAAACATAATCCCATAGCCTAGAAATGAAATTCCTATCATTCTTCCCAAAACACCAAAATTCGACACCGGTCCCACATGGTCCAAACACGAGGCTCGGACCAAAACCCAATCACCCATAACCCCACGAGTTCAAATATATAATTTATTTCAAGATTCGACCCCAAATTGAGGTTGAATCACTCAGAATCCCCAAAGCCCTAACTCTACCCAAAACCCCCATTTTCTACTTTGATTTCAAAGTTTAGGGCTAGGAATTTAGTATTAATAGAGGAAATTGAAGAAAACAAGTTGAACAATGCTTACCCAAGAAGTTTTGATGAAAGGGAGCTTCAATGGACGCCTAAGTGCTTGGAGAAGAAAGGAGTTCGTGTATTTTTATGAAAATCCCGAGCTACTGTTCTGTTTTTAACTTAAAAATTCGCATAGAACAGTTCCCGGACCCCAGCAATTTCCTTCTACGCGTTCGCATCTCTCTCCATGCGATCGCGATAGCCTACCCACCGGAGGATGGGAAATCCGGGTCGTGACAAAAATGTATATCAATTTTTTTTTGTATATCAAAATATAAATAAAAGATATTCTTTGTTCTTTGTATATTTCAGTGTATAACATATAGTTTCTTGTGGATATACACAGTTTGCTGGATATATATTGATATACAAAATGAGAATTAGAATTATTTTCTTAATCAAAAGAAAAAGAAGAGGAGAAAAGTATGAAGCAAATTTATTCGGAATGATTTCACCCTCTTAAAATTAATGGACAATTTTATAAAGATCACGAAACCATTTCCCTTTCTGCCAACACTACAAAAACCATTATTAACTTGTACTAGCAGAAAAATGCAACCAAAGTTTCTCTATTTCACTCTCTTTGTCTTTCTCTTGATCTCAACTGCCGGTTCTTTGGCTTATAATACCGGCGGAAGGAAAATGAGTGCGCTGGAAACTTCAGGGTCACCTAGTGGAGGAAGTGGTGCGGCGCATGGGCCTAATTGGGATTACAATTGGGGTTGGGGTTCTAGCCCAAGAGGAGGATGGGGTTATGGTTCGGGCTCGGGCCGGTCTCCTAATGGGTTCGATCGAGGCTGGGGTTTTGGTTCTGGGTCGGGGAGTGGGTCCGGTTCTGGCTACGGATATGGCTCAGGAAGCGGTGGCGCTTATGGTGGTGGATATGGAGAAGAAATACGGGAAGAGAGAAGAAAAGACACACGACAGAATAAATAAGAAATTAGGGTTATTTAGAATTTGGCTATATAATGCCAATTTTTTTGGTTACCTTTGCCAAACCTATTATATGGCCAAATTATTGCCAATTCTCTTTATGAGTTGTCATACCATGCCATTTTTTCTAATTTTTAAGGGGGAGAGTCTATTAAGGTAGCTTGCTGCCTGGGCTTTCGAGTGTCGCCCATGTGTTTCACTGTTGCACGGGCCTGGCACACCCTACCAACTCAAGTTTAATGTTTATTTGGGCCTCGCATTTGCTTGTCCTGATCCAGTTCGAAACAAAATGTCTTGTTTGTATTAGCTTGACTTATGCCTAAAATCAAAGGACTTGTTGCAATAGTAACCAAGTTGCTGTACATTTGCAATAACACTGAATCCTTTCTCTACAGTTCGTAACCAATTGAATCTTGTGATTAAGGAGTCTTTGTTATAGACAAAGTATTTTAAAGATAAAATAAGAATATTAAAATTTAAAACGTATTAAATATAAGAAATGGCATACTTTGTAGGGCAAATTAAAAAAAAACTAAGATGGCATATTAGGTATAGTAAATTGGAAAAAAGTAAGACATATAAATTAAGATTTTGGGAATATTTGTTTTGAACTTCTATTGAAAGTTTACTCAATTTTATTTATTATTCTATCAATTTCAATTTATGTGTCTACTTTCTTTTAAACATTTTCATTTTATCAGTAATGATATTTATTTAATGATATGCGATGTTTAAAACCACAAAAAACCAAATATTATTTTTAGTATGTTATCCACAGGGGCGCGGATCGTGCACAAGAGAATGAACTCCCTTTGATGAAAAATTAAATGTGCATATAAGGTCAAACTTATTTCTACGTATATTGTAGTAGATGTTGGATTTCATTGACACAACACAAACACTTACTCCCTCCGTTCTAATTTATGTGAACCTGTTTGACTGAGCACGGAGTTTAAGAAAAAATGAAGACTTTTGAAATTTGTGGTCCTAAACAAGTCAAAAGGGGGTCCAGAGTATTTGTGTGATCATTAAGGGCAAAATTGTTTGTTTAAGCTAAATTGTTTCCAAATTTAGAAAGGGGTCATTTTTTTTGGAACAGACAAAAAAGGAGATAGGTTCACATAAACTGGAACAGAGGTAGTATGTATTTACTCCCTCCGTTCACTTTTACTTATTTTGCTCACCTCTTAAAAAATAATAAATAAAGTGTATAATTTACCATGATACCTATATTAATTGATGTATAGTCTTTAATGGATTTGAAATGAATAATTAATGCTAAAGGTAAAATAGGAAGCGAAGTGAAAATAAAAATAAAAATTTATATTCAGAATTGTGAACAAGTAAAAGTAAAGGAGGGAGTACTTTCTTATTCATAATCCATAGACAAACCCAAAATGATACAGTCGGTTTGTGTCCGAGCTTCAGCTCTGCAATTGCCACCCATTTACTCCCAGTCCCCCAGGCAATCTCTATTTCTCCACATTTTCCTGTTTTTGAACAGACCCATTCTCTATCATATATACCATAATTTGCTTACTTTGTGTTTGTAGAAATGTCGCAACAGCTGACACCTTTGCAATTGACGCTCAAAACCTTAGCTATTCAGTTGTCTCCAGACAAGGGAAAGTACTTCCAATTCTAAAGGATTGCTCACTGAAAATTCCCTCTGGGCAATTCTGGATGCTTCTTGGACCCAATGGCTGTGGAAAATCAACCCTTTTAAAGGTAAACTCTCTAAATTGTGTATGTAAACTGTGCAAAATTTTGTATCTTCTAGCAAGTCTGGTTAACATTAAAGGGATTTTGGGTTTTGTTTTTTCGGGTGAAAATTATTCCCAGATATTAGCAGGTTTATTGAGTCCAGATGATGGATTCTTGTATGTGGAGAGACCAAGGAGCTTTGTGTATCAGAACCCTGATCATCAGGTGTGTCTGCTGAGCTGAAAAGTTCCCATTTTTATCATTTATATCTATTATTAAATGGCAGTGCTGCTTAATCCTCTGTCATATTCAGATTTGTGGCTGTCTTTTATGGATTAAATTGGACGACTAAGCAAGAATGTCTGCAATCGCATATTGTGTTGATGACTTTTAAATTGCTGATAATGGATGAATTGTGAGATTTATGGTCTAAAACTTGAGACTTTAGATACTTATGGCAGCAATAATAACTACTACTACACCTCAATTCCAATCTAGTTGGGTTCACCTATATGAATCCTCACTATCCATGGCGGTCCATTTATACTCGTCTCAATCCGACATTTTAAACAATAAAATAGGTTTCTTTTAATAATCGAGGCTTGGAATTTCATGGAACAACTGCAAAAGAATGTATATCATAAGGGGCACCAAGGGTGTTGCCTAACGTCGATAATTAGGTGAAAACCATGAGAGAGAAGGGTTCAAATCCTACCAGAGACAAAAAGAGTTTGGTGATTTTTTTTCCATCTGCGCAAGCCTTGTAGGCTAGAGTTACTATGCTGGTGCGAGGTAACATGTACCTCGTGAAATTGTCGAGGTGTGCATAAGCTGGCTCGGGTACCGCTGTTATAGAAAAAAAAAAGAATGTAAATCATAATGGAACAGGAGAAGATTGAACGCTTCATCTTGTATAAGCATAATTCCAAATTAGAGAGATCAACTCCACTTGATAACAATTCGATTAATGTAATTAAGCTTTTGGGTTTCTTTCTTCGCTTGAACTATATCTCAGTCGAGTTTAGATTTGGCAAGAACTATCATTCCGAGTTTTTCCCAGCTCTTTGCGTCATAAGGACTAATATGTTTTCATAGAACTTCTGTTGTAGATCAATAGTAGGCAGATTCTGAAAAAATTCTTTAGTTTCTACACGAATTCTGGTCAAGTCTGTAACTCTGTATGACCATTGTATGGCCATTACTCTGTTAGGACCGAAAAAACCAGGTGTCATGCAGAAGCTAGTAAAGCAAACCTTGAACGACAATAAATCCAACAACAAAAGAGAAATCTACCAAAAAAGACACAAACATTTAGCGTGGTTTGGTCAACTGACCTACGTCCACAACGGAGATGAGCAATCCACTATAATAAAAGAGAGTACAAAATATCGAGAGAACAACCTCACGAAGAGGCAAACACAAGTGACTCACTAACCCTTGTCCCGTAAAGTTCTCCCCCTAAACACGACTCTCAAACCTCATATGGCTACATTGTGGATGCTGGTGAATGTGAAGGAAGGATCCTCAATTTATAGAAGTCCAAACCTTTTCCTACAAGAAAAAAGACTAGCCAAATATTGGAGATTTATAATTTCCTTTTACAAAAACGAAAACCCAGTTAAGGTAATTATATTGCCCTTTTCCTTCAAGAGATAGGAAAAACAAATATGGTAAGAAAATTATGGCAAACACCTAACAATTCTCCCCCTTGGCCTGAATTTTCTGACAAAATAAACTTGATTCACCTTCTTCACATAGCCTTCAACAGGTCGCATCTCCAGATCTCCGCCACAAAGTTTGTCTCAACGCGCGTAGCACACCGGTCAAATTTCTCAGACAAAAATTACGATTATCGTCAAATATGTCGTGGCTAGAACTGAACCCGCCAAGATGAACCTGTCTTGAACCTCGCTCTGATACCACTTGTTAGGACCGAAAAACCCAGGTGTCATGCAGAAGCTAGTAAAGCAAACCTTGAACGACGATAAATCCAACAACAAAAGAGAAATCTACCAAAAGAGACACAAACATTTAACGTGGTTCGGTCAACTGACCTACGTCCACAACGGAGATGAGCAATCCACTATAATGAAAGAGAGTACAAAATATCGAGAGAACAACCTCACGAAGAGGCAAACACAAGTGACTCACTAACACTTGTCCCGTAAAGTTCTCCCCCTAAACACGACTCTCAAACCCCATATGACTACATTGTGGATGCTGGTGAATGTGAAGGAAGGATCCTCAATTTATAGAAGTCCAAACCTTTTCCTACAAGAAAAAGGACTAGCCAAATATTGGAGATTTATAATTTCCTTTTACAAAAAGGAAAACCTAGTTAAGGTAATTATATTGCCCTTTTCCTACAAGAGATAGGAAAAACAAATATGGTAAGAAAATTATGGCAAACACCTAACAATTCAAGATGGTATGTTTAAATGGGAGAAATTATAATGTTTGGAGAAGCAAGATGAAAGACTTGTTGTTCGTGAAGAAGATGCATCTACCCGTTTTTTCAGCTCATAAACCCGAGAGTATATCCGATGAAGATTGGGATTTCGAGCACCAACAAGTATGTGGATATATACGGCAATGGGTTGAAGATAATGTTCGCAACCATATTGTGAACGAGATACATGCGAGATCATTGTGAGAAAAGCTAGAGACTCTTTATGCTTCAAAAACCGGGAACAACAAATTGTTTCTGCTAAAGCAATTGATGACCTTTAAATACAAGGAAGGCAGCCCTATCCTTGATCACATAAATGATTTTCAGGGCGTCCTTGATCAGCTATCTGGAATGGGGGTTAATTTTGATGATGAGATACAAGGACTTTGGCTTCTTAATACTCTGCCAGACTCTTGGGAAACTCTTCGTGTTTCTTTGACAAATTCAGCTCCTGGAGGTAAGGTGACCATGGAATATGCCAAGAGTGGTGTGTTGAACGAGGAAGTAAGGAGAAAATCGCAGGGTTCATCCTCACAAGCAGATATCTTGGTTACAGAAGACCGGGGGAGAGATAGAACAAGAGGCTCAAGGAATAGAGGTAAAAGTAGAAGTAAGTCAAGGTCCAAATACTATAATGTTACATGCAACCACTGTGGCAAGAAAGGACACATCAAAAGGTTTTGCCGCAAGTTGAATCAAGACACTAGAGAAGGAAAGAAAGTTGAAAATAACGAGAACAATGTTGCTGCTATTGTTCAAGATGACCTTCTTTTTGCTTATGATGAAAACGTCATCAATTTGGTATCCCATGAGACGAGATGGATAGTAGATTCTGGAGCTACCTCACATGTCACACCAAGAAAAGATTTTCTCATCTTATACTCATGTTGATTCTGGAGTGTTAAAGATGGGCAATGCCAGTGAAGTTAAGGTGTTTGGTGTTGGCACAGTTTGTTTGAAAACTAATAACGGTTCAACGTTAGTTCTTCAAGATGTGAAGCATGCTCCAGACTTTCCTTTCAATTTGATCTCCACAGGAAGATTAGACGATGAAGGTTACCATAATGCTCTCTTTAACGGCTAATGGAAGCTCACCAAGGGCTCGTTAGTAGTGGCTCGAGGAGTCAAGTCTGGTCAATTATATGTGACACAAGGCTCTATTCTTAATGACTCAATAAATCTGGTGGAAAGTGATAGTTTGTCAGAATTGTGGCATCGAAGATTGAGTCATATGAGTGAGAGAGGGATTACGTGTTTGGCTAAGAAAAGTTTGCTTTCTGGAGTAAAACAAGCAAAGCTGCAAAGGTGCATACATTGTTTAGCTGGCAAACAGAAAAGGGTTTCCTTTCATAGCCATCCTCCCTCAAGAAAGCCCGATTTATTAGAGCTAGTACACTCTGATTTGTGTGGTCCTTTTAAAGTAAAGTCAAAAGGTGGTGCACTTTACTTTGTGACCTTCATTGATGATCATTCTCGTAAGCTCTGGGTGTATCCTTTGAAATCTAAAGATCAAGCACTTGGCGTGTTTAAGGAATTTCAGGCCTTAGCTGAGAGACAGACGGGGAAGAAATTAAAATGTATTCGCACTGACAATGGTGGTGAATATTGTGGTCCCTTTGATAACTATTGCAAGGAACAAGGAATTCGTCATCAGAAAACTCCGCCCAAGACGCCTCAATTGAACGGTTTGGCAGAGAGGATGAATAGAACTCTAGTTGAGAGAGTTAGATGCTTACTTTCAGAGGCTAAACTTCCAAATACATTTTGGGCGGAAGCACTTAACACTGTTGCCTATGTTATCAATTTGTCTCCTGCTGTTGCTTTGGATGGTGATGTCCCAGACAGAGTTTGGTTTGCCAAAGATGTTTCTTATGATCACCTGAGAGTTTTTGGGTGTAAAGCTTGTGTGCATATTCCTAAAGATGAGAGATCGAAACTGGATGTCAAAACTAAGCAGTGCATCTTTATCGGTTATGGTCAAGATGAGTTTGGGTATCGTTTTTATGATCCAATTGATAATAAACTTATTAGAAGTCGTGATGCAATATTCTTTGAAGACCAAACTATTGAAGATATTGACAAAGCTGAGAAGATAGATTCTCAGAGTAATGAGAGCTTAGTTGATATTGATCCAGTTTCAATTGCTAAGGCACCTATTGCACATGAAGGAACCCAAGACAATGATGGAGATAGTGATCAAGATCAAAATGATCATCATGGTGTAGATGTTATGGATGCTCCAGTTGATGAAGTTGTGGTTGATCAGCAACCAATTCCTGCACAGGTAACTACTACGAATGCTCCTGAAACCTCTCTTAGAAGATCTACAAGGGAGAAGCAAAAATCCATGCGCTATCCTCCTGATGAGTATGTACTTTTGACTGACATGGGAGAACCTGAGAATTATGATGAAGCCATGCAAGATAATCACAAAGATCATTGGATCGAAGCGATGGAAGATGAGATGAAGTCACTCCATGAGAATGGCACATATGAGTTAGTGAAATTGCCGAAAGGTAAGAGAGCTTTATCTAACAAATGGATATTCAGAATAAAGCAAGATAACCATACCTCTGCGCCTAGATACAAGGCGAGGTTAGTTGTTAAAGGTTTTGGCCAGAAGAAGGGAGTTGACTTTGATGAAATTTTCTCCCCTGTTGTGAAGATGTCTTCTATTCGTGTGGTTCTAGGCTTAGCCGCAAGTCTAGATTTAGAGGTTGAGCAGATGGATGTCAAGACTGCTTTTCTTCATGGTGATTTAGATGAGGAGATTTATATGGAGCAACCTGAGGGTTTTGTAACTAAGGGAAAAGAAAATTATGTCTGCAAATTGAAAAAGAGCCTGTATGGATTGAAACAAGCTCCAAGGCAATGGTATTTGAAGTTTGAATCTGTCATTGAAGAACAAGGGTACAAGAAAACTTCTTCAGACCACTGTGTATTCTTCCAGAAGTTCTCTGATGATGATTTTATTATTTTATTGCTTTATGTGGATGACATGCTTATTGTTGGAAAGAATAAATCCAGAATTGCAGTCCTTAAGAAGCAGTTGAGCAAATCGTTTGCGATGAAGGACTTGGGGCCAGCAAAGAAAATCTTGGGCATTCAAATCCACCGACACAGAGATAGAAATGAGTTATTTCTGTCCCAAAAGCAATACATTGAGAAGGTACTCAAGAGGTTCAATATGACAGATGCAAAAGTGGTTAGTACTCCTCTTGCTAAACACTTCAAATTGAGTATTAGTCAGAGTCCATCTACTGATGAAGAGAAAAAGGAGATGTCTCGTATTCCTTACTCTTCTGCCGTTGGTAGCTTGATGTATGCTATGGTTTGCACTAGACCAGATATTGCACATGCCGTTGGCACTGTTAGCAGATTCATTTCCAATCCTGGAAAAGAACATTGGGATGCAGTAAAATGGATATTAAGGTATTTAAAAGGTACTGCAGATTAGAAGCTGTGCTTTGGCAATGGCAAGCCTGAACTTGTTTGTTACACAGACTCTGATTTAGGAGGCAATCTTGATAATTCAAGATCCACTTCCGGTTATTTGATCACTTTTGCAGGGGGAGCTGTTTCTTGGCAATCTAGACTACAGAAGTGCATAGCTCTATCCACCACAGAAGCCGAATATATTGCTGTCACAGAAGGTGCCAAAGAACTATTATGGATGAAGGAGTTTATTAATGATCTTGGCTTTGAGCAGCCACGGTACATCTTATTTTGTGATAATCAGAGTGCTATCTGTCTCACCAAGCACTCCACTTTTCATTCTAAGACCAAACATATAAATAGAAAGTATCATTGGATAAGAATGGCCGTGGAAGAGAAATTATTTGAGGTTGAGAAGATACACACTGATGAAAATCCTTCGGATATGCTGACAAAGGCGGTGGTTGCAGATAAACATGAATTTTGTAGAAAATTGGCAGGCATGAAGCCTGTCAATAGTTCCTCTACTTGAAGACACATTTGGCCCCTTGGCTGGAGGGGGAGTTTGTTGGGCACATGCCCATGTTGTCCAGCCAAAGGCCCAATGACCTAATCCTATTCTCTTTTGGTTTCCAATCCTATTTGGAATTGGATTCGGTTATTCCTATTTTGAGTGGGTTTTGGCTTTAAGAGAAAGCACCACTCATGATCTATAAATAGGACAACCTTGGAGAATTATTCTATGCTCATTGATACAAGTCTTTGAAAGACTTAAGCACATAAGAGTGGGTTTTGAGAAAACTTTCATCAAGAGAGAAGAGAGAAAAAAAAATATTTGTTTTGCTGCAGATTTTTATTCCGACCAGCCAACTTCAAATCACGTTTTTCGATTCGTTAACCGTTGGATCGGCTGAAATTTTGACTGAGTGTTCGTAACATCTTGGTCTTGGATTTGAACGGTGGAGATCGGATTTGGAGGCTCGTAGCATCTGATTTCGAGCCTCGTACAGCAGCTTCGTTTTGTGGATTATACTCTTTCTTCAATTGATTAGTTGTTGCTCTTGTTGCTATTGTTGCTCCGTATTTGACCCTTGTTGTGTAGCCAATTTGGAGAACTTTTGTAACCCTCTTATTGTTATAGTGGAGCTTTTTGGATCTTTGTGATCCCATGGTTTTTACCTTCGATTTGAAGGGTTTTCCACGTTAAAATTTGGTGTTCTTTATCTTCTTTATTTTCGGATTTGCCTCTTCCTCGACATAACATACTCTGGGTAGATGGTGCAATTTGTACAACTTTGGAAAACCTCTAGGATATGTGGTAGCTAAGTCCACATCATTTTGGCACTCACGAGTCATTCAATGGCGCACGTGTCTGTCATTATCCAAGCTATGCATTTTATTCTTTGAATTGGATTTATGATTCCTCAGAGTGCGAACCTATAGAGTTTCTCATACATTGATCCATTTTCCTTTTGTGCGGTAATGTTCAAGGCCTCTATAACATAGCCTCATATGCTTTTGCTATGATGAATTCACGAGGTCTCTGCGAAACAGATGATGTGCTTGGTATGGCAAAAGCAGGGAGCTAAGTTTGCCTTTTAAGTGTTTTTTATTGGTTTGGTTTTATACCTAAACCTACAAACTAGCTTTGATATGAAGTGGACTTTCCACGGCCGTGTATTAAGAAAGTTATTCTGCTCTTCACTCTTAAATGTATGGCTTCTTTATTTCTTGTGCTTACAGGTCGTGATGCCTACAGTGGAAGCTGATGTTGCTTTTGGTCTTGGCAAATTGAACTTAACACCAAATGAGATTAGGACTAGGGTGGCGAGAGCTTTGGATGCAGTTGGGATGTCTGAGTATTTGAAAGTACGTTCTTCAGATATGATTTCCTAGATCCCTAACAGGTCAATATAATACGGAACTGCTCTCACATCTGTGCTTTTGTTTATGCCATGCAGAAACCAGTTCACACTCTTAGTGGTGGTCAAAAACAAAGGGTTGCTACTGCTGGTGCTCTGGCAGAAGCTTGCAAAGTTTTGTTACTTGATGAACTGACTACTTTTTTGGATGAAACTGATCAGGTATAATCTGATTCAACTTTTATGTCACTTTGTAGCGTCTAATTTTTCACTTGTTGGGTAAATCACATGCATGACCTACCAGTGGAGAAACTGCATGCCCTTGCCGAAATGAATAAATGAATGAAATAGATATCTTCCGAGGAACGTGTATCGAAAGATTTAATGAAGAGTATTCCACCCCTTCTCCACACCACAAGAAACTATTAGAGGTATATCAAGGATGCCTGCTGGTATCAGATGACAAAAACACTGCAATTCAATGCTAGTTGGTCGCCTCAATCCTGTTAGCCTGTTATTAAACTGTTGAAACTGTCCAACAAAAAGGTCTTAAATGGCATTTTGTTGAACTGAAACTGCTCAAAATTATTGTTCAGTGAAGTCCCAAGTACAGCAGATGTTCCCAAATTAGAAACTTTGGCTCATGTTGAACAGAGAGAGGTAGCATCCTCTTAGTGTCAAATATGTTAAAGGGTATCCATATATTGTCACGACCCGGATTTCCCTACCCTCGGGAGTCGTGATGGCGCCTACTATTAGGAGCTAGGCAAGCCAATTATTTATTACCTCTTTTAGCAAACCTCGACATTAATAAAACAACGAAACATTTAATAGAAAAGCGGAAGTCTTAAATATAACTAAACTGATAGCAACGCGGAAGTTCAATACAATTCTACCCAAGAACTGGAGTCACAAACTCACGAACGTCTAGAGAATACTAAATACAAGGTTTGAATGAAACAGAAAACTGTCTGCTTCGGTACAAATGATAACAAACTGAATAAAATAGAAAGGGACTCCGGGCCTGCGGACGTCAGCAAGGCTACCTCGAATGTCCCTGGACTGAAGTCAGCTCCCAATCAACTACTGCTGTTCAAAAGCTGCTGCTCCGGCGCTGTGATCTGTGCAAAAAGATGCACAGAGTCTAGCATCAGCACAACCGACCCCATGTGCTGGTAAGTGCCTGGCCTAACCCCGGCGAAGTAGTGACGAGGCTAGACCGGACTACCAAACAAACCTGTGCAGTTCGATATATATGTATGCAATATAAAGGTATACAGAAATTAACCAGTCAAGGGGGAGGGGGAGCATGCTGTAGGGGCTGTAACAGTTCAGGTATAAAATCAATAATTGAGGAATGAAACAGTACAACTACAATAGCAACGATAGTAGGAAATCAACAGTTGCACGGCACCATCCTTCGTGCTTTTACTCTCATTCTCACCCAAACAATCATATAAAGTGCACGGCATCACCCTTCGTGCTTTACCTCACAAAATGATGGCACGGAATGACCCTTCGTGCCTAAACACTCATATCATGGCACGGAATGTTCCTTCGTGCATTAGTAATCAAATCAGGGCACGGAATGTTCCTTCGTGCATTAATATTTATATCACAATCGTGCACGGCATCACCCTTCGAGCTTTATCACTCGTCCTCAGACAAACAGTAATAGAAGTCCCGGCAAGGGAAACAACAATAATAACTTTCACATCCCGGCAAGGGAACAACAATAATAACTTTCACATCCCGGCAAGGGATCAACAATAGTAACTTTCACATCCCGGCAAGGGAATAATCACATTTCTTTCTCTTTCTTTCTTTTCTTACTCAGTAATTACTTCATCATTCGCGCCACGCTCCAAAGAGTTCACAGATCACAATTCTTTCTCATACTCTTCACATTATATAGAGATCATCAATTACACGAGGAAGAGTCACAACAAAATAGGAATAAACACAATATACGGACTCACGGTCATGCGAGACACCAGTGTATAGATACTCGTCACCATGCCTATACACCGTACTCAATCAATTAGCAATTAGCAAACAAGACTCAACTCCTATTCTCTCAAGCTAGGGTTAAACCAAACACTTACCTCAACTTCCACAGCTAAATCAATCCACAACGACCACCTTCCCTCTCGAATTCGGCTCCAACTCAATCAAATCTATGCAATAACGACTTTACAACATTAATATAAGCTAAACAAATCAAACCCAATGTCTAAATATAGTTTTCTAAGCTTTCTTCCCAAAATTCCAAAAATCGACCCCGGGCCTGCTTGGTCAAAACCCGAGGTTCGAACCAATTTCACATTACCCATTCCCCCACGAGCCCGGATATACAATTTGTTTTCTAAATTCGTACCCAAACCGAAGGTCTAAATCAAAGAAGATGAAAAGCCCTAACTCTACCTATTTTCCCCAACTTTCTAACCCTACGATTACATGATTTGAGCCTAAGAATTTGATAAATGGTGAAGGAAAATGAAGGAAACAAGTTAAATAATACTTACCCAAGAAGCTTTGGTGAATGAGAGCTCTAGAAATTGCCTATGGGCTGTGAAGAAGTGAGTTCGTGTGTTTTTGGGTGAAAAATTCCGTCACTGTTCTGTTTTTTAGCTTTTAAATCACTGGGCAAAAATGCCCTTCGCGTTCCGGAAGCAAGGCCGCGTTCGCGAAGGGTTGACTCAACAGACCATCGCGTTCGCGATGAGCATGATGCGAACGCGAAGAGAAAGACTGGGAGGGTCCAGGAATTGTTATACGCGAACGCGTGAAGAGCCACGCGAACGCGATGAGGAAACTGGTGAAGTTAGCGTTCGCGAACTGTGGAATGCGAACGCGAAGAAGGAATTTATGGGGTCCTGGAATGGCTGACGGATCGGAGAGTTGTGACGCGAACGCGAAGAAGGGGACCTGGGAAGCATCGCGAACGCGAGCTGAAGGCCGCGAACGCGAAGAAGGGAATGCCTGTGCAAAAATTGCAGAAAATCTGCTATCATCCTAAGTCCAAAACTACCCCGAACACCTCCGAAAACACTCCCGAGCCCTCGGGGCTCCTAACCAATCACACACACTAACTCAACAACATCCTACGAACTTAACCGTGCGGTCAAATCACCAAAATAACATCAAAAACGAGGAATCAAACCTCAAAATCATCACTTCTTCATCAAACTTCATAAATTTTCATTTTTAGATATTTAGGTCCGAAACACGTCAAATGACGTCCGATTTCAACCAAATTTCACAGAAAGTGCTTAAACCACATATAAGACCTGTACCGGGCGCCGGAACCAAAATACGGGCCCGATTCCAACACGTTCTAATCAATTTTCCTTTTCAAATTTTCATATTAATTTCAGAAAAATAATTTCACAGAAAAATTCATTTCTCGGGCTCTAGACCTCGGAACTCGACTCTGGGCATATGCCCGAGTCTCATATTTTTCTACGGACCCTCCGGGACCGTCCAATCACGGGTCCGGGTCCGTTTACCCAAAATGTTGACCAAAGTCAACTTTATTTATATTAATATCAAAATTCATCATTTTTCACACAGAATTCATATTTAAGCTTTCCGGCTACGCGCCCGGACTGCGCACGCAAATTGAGGCGACTAAAAATGAGGTTTTCAAGGCCTCGGAAGCACAGAATGAATGAGAAAACAGGTGATGACCCTTTGGGTCGTCACATATATGCTGCAAACTACCATTTGAAACGGTGGGCAAAGGAATTTTTCTGGCAAGGTGGAAAACTAGTACGACTATACTAGTAATCTTCTTAGGTTGATGACTTGCCTTCTCTGAATGACGTGCTTATTCTTTTCCTTGTTCTGTGCTCTTTGTGAATTCCTTTTTCCCTTGGTCTTTTGTGTTGGCCGGAAGAGGAAGGAAGATTTGAAAATCACTATGAGTTGACATTTGATTTTTAGCGAGAAGTGGATTGGAATAGATCGATTTCACATATTGAATTTCTTTCTCTTTCAACTTTTGCTAGATTGGAGTAATAAAAGCAGTGAGAAACTCCATGGATACATCTAAAGAAATTACAGCTTTGTGGGTGACCCATCGCTTGGAAGAACTTGAGTATGCAGATGGTGCAGTTTACATGGAAGATGGAAGAATTGTCCGGCAGGGTGATGCAACTAGTATAAGGAATTTCATTGAAAATAAACTGGCATCTTATGTAAACCAAATAAATTTGTAACCACTTTTGCCTCAAGGATTCTTGTACATGTACATAAAGGCGTGTATTATGATGCTTTCCAGGGAGCAAATACTATGTTACATTTCTTTTCTCGCCATGTCAAGTATGCAAGATGTAGGTCTTTTGAGGGTCAAATATTTGAAGGAGTAAACTGCATTTGTTTTTCTTAGACTAAACTGTTTGACGAGGATCTCAATTGTCCATTTCAGCATGGCAGTGTGGTGTTCACAGGCGTATCTAGAGTTACTTGAACATAGGTGCACCACTTAAGAAAGTGGAAAATAGTATCAATTGTGAATTGATCCATATTCCTCCAGGTAAATAACTCAATCAAGTGCACCATTCAACATTTTTAGAGCATGGGGCCAACAAATAATATTAGACAATTCTAGAAAACATGTACATAAAATAACTAGTTTGACGGAGTTGACCATAGGTTCACGTGCTCCATAATTTGGGCAGTGAACAATACTTTGCCTAACACGTTTTGTTTTGCTTTAAAAGTTTACTGATGTCCGAAAATTTCCAAAAAAAACTTAGCTGGATTTGTGTGATAAATTTTTTGTTATGATCACACAGGATGATTTGACATTATTTTTACTAATGCTGATCATGGATTCAAGATTGTCCAATAGTGATTGGATTTTTCTTTAGAGAAGGCACATACAACCAAATCTACAGTTAACACTTCCTCTCAAAATTGCTTTGGTGAACTATTATTGCTCAAGGATGCAAATATTGTCTTAAAGTGAATGGATTTTGTATTGCAAAAGGCATATATGAACAATTCTAAAAATAGACTCCTTTCGCTCAAAATTCCTATATAATGTGCATATTGGAACAATTCTAAATAATGTGCATATTGTATCATTTGACATACAAATTATAGTCTCCATGGGTAAAGAAATCGTGGTAGCCATCTTTGTCGTCCTCCTTTGTTTTGCTACTCCCACGGTTCAAACTCGTGTCGGTGGCATTCAAGAGGCTTCTAAGATGATTAATAATCGTTTTAGTAACGTTGTAAAGAAGACTCTTATCACGAGTCGATATCGTGGATGTCTTATGCACGAGACTGCTACTATCACTGAAAATAATGGTGGTTGCAAGAAATAATTGAAGACTTTGGTTGTGTTTATAATTTCTAATAAATCCAAGTCTTGTCTATAAATAATTGTCATGTTTTAATTTCGAACTAATGCAAAATGTTGTTGGTTGCATTAGATTTAATTATGTTATATATCAAGGTGTATACTTTTAGAGTTTTAGATAAAAGATGGGTATCTTTTTCTGTTAAAATTTAAGTTCTATGTTGTGCCTCGTCAAATTAAAGATTTTGGTGCGATGTGGCTGTTGGTAAACAATGTTCCTTAATCATATTCCAGTGAAGTTAATCTGTTTTCAAATTACAAAATTACACCATATATCACTTGGGCCAGACAGCCCACTCGAAAATAGCCCATATTTTGTAAAAATTCTGTGGGGTAGCCACTATTTAAAGTGGTATTTACTTTTTATCCACCATTTTTAATGCTGAGCAAAACTAGCCACTAGTCTATTAAAATTAATATGAAAAGACAGAGTTACCCTTTCCTTCCCAAACAGAATTACAGTGGATTGGACCAGAATATTTATGCAAAATTCTCTCACCATCCAAACACGATCTCTCACTTCAAACAAAGACATTCACAACTTTTTGAGTGTGTGTGTGTGCAGAAGGAGGACAGCTGCAATGGCAATGGCAATAGCTATTCGGAGGCTTTCATCTACAGTTGACAAACCCATTAAGCGTCTCTACAATGGTGGCTCTCTATATTACATGGTTTGTCTTTGTTTAGTAGTAGTATCAGTTTTTTCCTTAAGTTAATTTTTCTTAACTTCTTTTTTCCGGTCAGTTTGTTGTTGCCTTGTTGAAGTAATTCGTGACGTTGTTGTTGTTGCAGTCATCTTTACCAAATGAAGCTGTCTACGACAAGGAAAAAACTGGAGTGATGAATTTGAATTAGTGTGTTATTTGAACTTATACTCGTCCCTTTTAGTTTCTGACTTGAAAGCCTTAACTTACAGTTACACGTTCAAAAGTTAAGGACAAGCAGTCCTTAACTTACAGTTACAAGTTCAAAAGTTAAGGACAATAGGTCCATAACTTTGATTTCCAAGTTCAAAAGTTAAGGACAGACAGTCCTTAACTTACATAACTTACAGTTACACGTTCAAAAGTTAAGGACAAGCAGTCCTTAACTTACAGTTACAAGTTCAAAAGTTAAGGACAATAGGTCCTTAACTTTGACTTACAAGTTCAAAAGTTAAGGACGCTTGGTCTTGAAGTTTGAGTTCCAAGTTCAAAAGTTAAGGACATGTAGCCCTGAACTTAGAGTTCCAAGTTCAAAAGTTAAGGACATGTAGTCCTGAAGTTCTGAAGTTAAGGACATGAGCAGAAGGGTATTTTTGTCCGGGCAGTTAAAGTTTATTAAACCAGTGGCTAAAGACTAAAGACATTTAAAACACTGGCTTTAAAATAAAGACATGAGCTGTTAGTGGCTATTTGTGCACATCGCCCCCATATTTTAAGCCTTCACCTGGATTAGCCCATGTTGTATATTTTAGGGATTTTTACATTCTTATGCCATATAGTAAACTATATTACCCTAAATGTTCATGTTTAGTAAATTACCCTACCTACACAAGTTTTGTTTACAAAATATATACATTCCACCTTAAAAGGCTCCCAATCCATTATTAGTGCCTTCAATTAGGGATTTAGTTACACCATTTTCCTTTTTTCTCTCCTCTTTCCTCTTTTCTCTCATGATCTTCCACCCACACTTGGATGTAGAAACATTTAAAGCTACAGTTATCATAAGAATGCGGGTTTTCCTTTTTTCTTCTTTTCTTTGTTAGTGCTGACTGCTGACGATATAATTGAACAAAAATCTCAACATTTCATTTAATATTGTGTATTAAGATGGAGTTGGTCACCAACCGATAAACAATTAAGATGCTAAGTACGAGATACATTGTTTTTGGTAGCACATGATAGATCATTCTTAGATATGTTTGGAGTCCATCACCATCTATGTGGTTCTGGGAGTAAGTACCAATGGGATTTTGCCCTTGAAATATGATGATTGAAATGGTGGAACTCTATTTACTTGTTTATATTGCAAGAATGCATAAAATCAAAAAGGACATGATTATATTTATTCAATTTTGTAGATAGCATCCAATCCATGTAAGATGGCTATTCTCTTAGTACATTCACTAATGCAGTCAGTGACTTTTCTTCATCCATGAAAGCAGAATAAGTGCCAGCGGATGACTCAAGGTTTCATTGATCAATCTCAAGGAACAAATAGTGCATCTACTCCTGCAATTATATGTGCTGGAAAGTTTGACGAGAGCAAAATTGCAATCTCTGCCACAAGTCCTGTAAATGGACAGACATTGGAGCCAAATAGATAACAGTTGGAAGATCGATTCCCACTCCAAGTTTCCTCCAAAAGCAGAAGCAGATTTATCAATAAGCATATTTAGTATTTACCGACGAAGATTCAGAAGAAATGGATACTTTTTGCTGGGGAATATGCAAGCACAACAGTATAACAAAGCTCTCATTTCCTCAGGACAGAGTTTTGAAAGTTGTTCATAATTCAGCAAAGATGATTATATACAACTTCAATATCATACCACTTAAATACAATTTTTTTTACAAATTTTATACAATATATCTTTTGTATATTTTGTATTCGATTTATACACAGTAAAAATATCTACAACTTATCTACAATTTTCATACATTATTTCTACTCAGTTATATACAACTACAATATCATACAACTTAAATATAATTTTATACAATGTTGTTCAACTTTCATACTATAGTTAAATGAATAAAAGAAAAAATAAATAAATAACATAATACAATTTTTCTATAATTTTACTACAATTTCTGCAATATAATGTATGTCATGTCGTCTTCTTCTTCTTCTTCTTCGAGTTTCAATCTGAAATTCAGCCAAAACCAAGTCTAATCTTCACCAAAACCCCTCAAAATTAAGATATAAACTCCAAACCATATTCCCAATTATTTGCAACAACACCCAATCCAAACAAATAATGATTTTTGAAAATCCAAATTCGAATTTAAAGCTTCAAAGCTTTTTAGTGGCTGTCAATGATGGAATCGCTGCCCTCTTTTCCTTTGCTTTATATTACTGAAATTTGGGATTGAGAGATAGAGAGAGACGTAGAGAGAATTCTCAATTCTTTGCAACAACATCCAATCCAAACAAACAATGTCTTTTGAAAATCCAAATTCAAATTCAAAGCTTTAAAGCTTTTTAATGGTTGTTAATGGTGGAGGAGTTACAGATTTTCGCTGGTTTTAGAAGAGGAAATAGTGGGTGATTGAAGAGGAAATCGTGGGGTGTGGTTTGATACGTGGGTAAGGGGGTGGGATTTGGAGAGAGAAACTTGGGGGGAGTGGGAATATACGGTAGAGTTAAATTAGGAGACTAATTAATACCGTTAAAACCCCTAAAATGTACATAAATGGTAATTAGGTATATAAAAGGTAATTATATTAAAAGTTAAGCATGGAGGGTAATATAATTTACTATATGGCATAGGAATGTAAAAATCTCTATATGGTTTTATGAAATTTACTTTACACCCGGTAGCCCACAACTCAAAATAACCGTTTTAATATTTGAAATTTCAATTTCTTTGTTTCTCTTTCTCTCTCTTCCTCACGTTTTTCTCAGACTCTCTTTCTCAGGCTTTTCTCAGACGATAACCGACCTCCATTGTTGGGTTCAACTAATTTTTCGAGCTTTTAATCTTAATTTCAGGTAATTTCCGTTTCATTCTATGCTTTTACCACAGTTTTGGTTTTGAATTTTGTTTTATTTTTAATTTTTTTGCTTTTTCTGATTATGCCTAGTTTCTTACAATGTTGCTGTATTTTTCGTTTGATTTTGTGTTCCATCTATCTTCGTTCTAGGATTAAACTTGATGTTTTAGTTTGCATGCTCTGTTATTTCGACTTTTAGGGTCGAATTTTTTATTTTTTGATTTTTGTTACAATTTGGGAAAATTGGCCTCTGCTTTGTGTTCATGGCCTTTAGTTTTGGTTAACCTTTGAGTTTTGTTACAGTTTAATTTTTGTGTTTT